GAGAGAGAGAGAGCAGTCACGCATAGTGGTACAAGTAAACAAACCTTCATGATCTTCCCAACAGTCAAAGAGAGCAGCAAAGTGAAGCAAGCTTTCATCTTTCAAATGTATATAGTATGGCTGCTTCTTCGACCCATCCTTCTTCCACTCATAGAACCTGTTATGCCAGGATCACAAGCCAAAACTAGATGAGTGCACATTCTTCTGTTGAGTCTGTTCATAATTTTTTTTCTTATTTTTCTCGTGTGTTGAGTTCTACTGTTCACACTCTACAATAGGCTTGTAAATGACAGCAATCCACTGATTTCTTCAGTTTCACCCATTCACACCTTTCGTAGTTCAATCTCCGGAGATAGTGCAGGCCAAGACGAGCTTAGGAAATGACATGAACTGTGGGCCAAGATGAGCATAGCAAATGACATGAGCTGTGTGGCTAGATGAGCATAGGAAATGACATGAGTCGAGCCTTGTCCAGAGAGAACAATCTGGTTCTGCTTTCATGACCTTCCCCTGGCCGCAGAGCCAGGTCCAGAACCACAAAGCCATTGCTAGGAAAATTGTGATGTTAACCTCTCCAGGGGAACTGCCCAGTCTCACCACGGTCTTTAGAGTCAGCGACTCGGTGCACGAAGAAGTAGCACAGAGAGAGCAAGCATGTGGAGTTGAAAAATTTACATCATCAGTAACTACTAACTTCAGGTCTGCCCCGCCGATGCCTTTCGCAGCTTTTGTCGCAGAGAGACAGAGAAGGTTTGTGAACGTGTTCGGAGGATGATTGGGGTTGAGGAGGTGTTTTGTGCTTGCTTGTACAATCTTATCGACGATTTCGATGGTGTGCTGTTTTGGTGTGCTATTGAATTTGTCTGCGAATTAATGTTATCATCACACAACCTTCCCTGCCGAATGGTACAGAATTTTGCCTGGGCAGGTCCTGAAGCAATTTCAGGTAGTAGAGCAGTCACCCCCCCCCGCCACCCCTTTTTTATACTAAACTAATCATAACAGACAGAGCCCTTGATCACAGCCAAAAGGCCGAGAAAGGTACAGCAGTCAATTTTCAACAGGGTGGAGGACTCAAACAGAGCCCAAAGATGACTATTTTGTGGGGCTATGTTTGCTCAACCAATCCGAGCTGCTTCCCCCAAATAGGCATACCTCACAGTGATGCCTGCCTGCCTGCTGCTTCCCCCGAATAGAACATACGGTCATTATCACTGTATTTGTAGCAGCGCCATGACCACCGTATGTTCCTGTCAGGAGGGGAAGACGGTCTGCTAGGACATAGCAGGCCCTTGAGGGTTCTGGTGGTTGTAATTGGATTAATTGACTTCTGAAGAGCAAGACTTAGTTCACCAACTCTACCCTGCTTCGCACATAGTCCTGCCATCCCCTTACAGGTTCCCGGAACTTCCCGCCAGAAAATACTGAAATGGATCAAAGTGTAGTCTCAATGGAGGGAGCAGAGGGCAACAACCGGTTAATGCAAAGCGCACCGCAGAGAATGTCTCTGTGAAAGCATAGCAGGCTGAGACAGCAAATGGCAGAGAGAAGCGGTATATAGTTGACATGACAGCAACAAGTATTATGCGAACTAAAATCCCCTTTGCACGATACAACTGCTTGGCAAGCCGCCAGAAAAGGGGATGATAGAGTAGAAACTACTACCCTTGTCACTCGAATAGAATTGCCGGTGTATTTGGGGCAACTTTCCGTCCAGATGCAGCGATAATGACCCCAGCCTTCTGTTCGGGTAAAGACGGTAGAGAACTAGAAAGACCTGTGGAACACTTTCCTTGGAAATCGAGAAGAAGAGGTCTTGTCACATAAACAGAGGATAAGAAAAATCAAATTCCAACAGGCATTTCAGCCCAATTTCCACAATCGCTTTCTTCCCAAGGCATTTCCCAAGGAAACACAGGCTTTTTCTAAAAAACGAAAAAAGGCATCACATCTTTGCAAATATGCCAATGTACAGATGCATGGGACCAAACACCTCCCACCAAAAGGAAAATCAAGAAAACAAAAAATCATTGAAAAGAGAAGAGCAGCACGCATAAGACTCATAAAGCAATTTCCTTGCAAACAAAAAAAAGAAACGGAAGGGAAAACAATCAGATTAGTAACCCATACCCATTCGCCATCGCTACACACCGACACCTTGCAATAAGCCGGCGAAAAGAGGCCTTCTCATGCAATGATTCTCCCCGAGCATTGAACTGCCAAGAGAGAAAACACAGACACAGAGAGAGAGAGAGAGGCAATGGGACGGTGGTTGGCCGTCAATCAGGCGAGGAGGCAGGTGGCATGCAGGAGTAAAATTGAAGTAGACTAAGGGAGAGGGGGAGAGAGAGAGAGAGAGAGAGAGAGAGAGAGAGAGAGAGAGAGAGAGAGAGAGAGAGAGAGAGAGAGAGAGAGAGAGAGAGAGAGAGGGTTGGCATGAGTAAAGCCAACATATTTTCTCGATGGAGGGTATTGCTAACCTTGGGCAAGATGATGGTGAGTCTGTAACACTCCTTACCCATCAGTGAAATGAATCCTGGGAAAGCTGCCAAGTTCCAGTATACGAACGAGTTCATGAAAGTCTGAACAAATGGTCTGTCACACTCACCCTTTTTTCTTTTGTGGAGTTGTGTTCAGGAATTCCATAAAACACAGTGATTAATACAGTACAGCAAAAGCAAGCAACTATAGCAGTGCCGTGAGCCCAACCACTGAAAACAAACATGGAAACGTTGACAACGATACTAAGAAAAGTTCCAAAGAACTATCGGTCAAGAACGTAAAAAGAGTTATTTTCCAACTCATTCGGTCTGATGCTGGTACAAATCTATAGACCATATAACCAACCAACATCAATCTTTGCAACTTGTTTGAGCATTCTATACAGATACAGACCCTTAAACCACCATTACCTTTCACAAACAAACTGGAAACGCATTCTTCCACGGACCAAAATGGCTGGCGGCGGCAGCCAAGAAGAAGAGGAGGAGGAGGAGGAGGAGAAGAAGAAGAAGAAGAAGAACAAGAACAAGAAGAACAAGAACAAGAACAAGAACAAGAACAAGAACAAGAACAAGAACAAGAAGAACAAGAACAAGAACAAGAACAAGAACAAGAACAAGAACAACAAGAAGAAGAACAAGAAGAACAAGAAGAAGAAGAAGTGATCATCGTGTGAAGAAGAAGAAGAAGAAGTGATCATCGTGTGAAGAAGAAGAAGAAGTGATCATCGTGTGAAGAAGAAGAAGAAGAAGAAGAAGAAGAAGAAGAAGAAGAAGAAGAAGAGGAAGAAGAAGAAGCTCCTTCACATCCTGCAAGCAATACTGCACAAGACACGAGTCATTGAATCCTAATTGGAAGGGGGGGAGACGCAATCCAAGCACCGATCAGACATTTTTCTGTTTACACTCCACAATTTCACAGTCAAAATAATTCATTCCTCACGAATCCTTCATCCTGCTCACGACGCCAATGGGCAGGTATCACATAAATAGCTCAGAAAGTTACAGGAACCCAAAAAATTCGTTCCTCAGCTGTCATTTGCAGGTATCACATACATGGCCCGAAGCCTTCGTCTTGCAGCCCATCTGGGTCCAGCTACCAGCGCCAGAGTCACCCATGTGAGGAAAACCATGAATGAATGTAAGCGATAACTGCATCTAAATTCACTAATCATTCAATCAATCAATTGATTAATCACATGTCATCACAGCAAAGATCATGCATGCATCCTATCGATTAATCATGTTTCATCACAGCAGAGACTATTCAAATCCACCAATACAGTTTCCTGTATGAGTAAATGGATGACTTATTCTAATCAGGTTATGGGAGCAGTATACATACAACAAGGGCCACCAGGGAGCACAGCAGTTCCAACAAGAGAGAGAGAGAGAGAGAGAGAGAGAGAGAGAGAGAGAAACAAGGCTTTCTTGGCAAAGCAAAGACAGAGCCAATGCTGTCCCTCCTCCCCACCCACCCCCTCAGAGACCGTCCCTTCACTCTCCTTTCCTCCTCTTTCATGGGCCTCTTCCCCCCCCCCCGCACCCAGGCCCAAAAAAGGAGAAACAAGAAGAATCAAGCCATACTGTGGTGGAGGCAAGTGGATGAGAGGTGGTGATATGGTGACCAAATTATGACAGGGAAAGTGATGTGCCAATGGGTCGCTCACCATTCTGTAATGGTCCGGCTTCTCAGATTTCCGGGTGAAGCTAGGGATCAAACCCCATTTCATGCATTGCACCACCCGCTGGCTATCCTCCTTTTTGCCAATATCTCCTTCCGGATTCGGTTTGGGAGAGGAATTGGACTGCATCCGCACAACCGGTGTGTATGATCCCGGTGAAACATTGTACGAAGATCTGTATCTGCAAGCAATGAGTCAATCAAGAAATCAGCCCATCAATCGCCCACACAATAAAACAATCAAGCAACCAGCCAATCAATCCACCAATCAACGCACCAATCAACACTAATCAACCCACCAATTAACGCACCAATCAACACATCAATCAACCCATCAACCGACCAACCAACCAACCTTCCAACCAACCCACCAGCTAACCAACAAATCGACCAACCAATCAATTAACCACCCAATCAATCAACCAACCAACCAACCCATCCATCAAACAGCACATCAATCAACACATAAATCAACCCATCAACCAACCAACCAACCAGTTAACAACCAATCGACCAACCAATCGACCGACCAATCGACCAACCAAGCAACCAATCAATCAACCAGCCAACCAACCCACCCGCCCACCCACCCATCAGCCGATCAGCTAACCAATTGCTCAGAGAATCAATCAGCCCACCCATCCATCAACCGACTAACCCATCAATCAGCTGATCAACCAATGGATTTACCAATCAACAAATCAAGTTTGGCAAGTGTTGGGCTCACGCAGGATTCGAACCCGACACCTGGCCCAAGTGAGCAGTAAGCATCATTTGTTTTTATTTTGTTGTTTTACTAAGCTTGCTGCCAATCAGATTCGAACCTTGGAACTGTTAGCTGCTTTTCAACACACAGGACCCAGTAGGACCCAGACATCTAGAACTCTCTTCGCCATACATAGCCCAGCAGGACACTGCAGGCCCAGGAAAACTCTATTCGAATAAAAGTACCGGGCTAGGAACCCTCATTTCCCAGAAGGCCCAGGCCAATTCAACTCAATGAGGCCATACTTACAACAGGACTTCTTCAACTTCGTCGGGCCCCCAGGCCACATGCCCATCAGACCTGCGCCCTGGAGGCCCACAGCGGCCCCCAGGCCACATACGGCAAATATAGGCAGCATTTAGTTATTTATTTAGTTATTTATTTAGTTATTTATTTATTTATTTACTTACCTGCTGAACTGTCGTGGTCTGTGCAGGTGTCGTTTTGGACTTGCAGTCCCGAAGGCACGACCTTGGGACTGGGTACCGGAGGCAGGGCCTACAAAAGGCCAGGCGCGTGTTTTTAGCGCCCTGCTGCATCAGCAGCACAGTCTGGACGTCCGGTAGGGACCCAGGCCGGCTGGGCCGTTTTGAGGCCAGGACCAGGTAGGCCCAGCCTTGCCCAGCGCTACATATAGCTGGGCAGAGACTGGGCAACGGACACAGTTCGAGTAGCTCACTTCTTGGGCGACACGCTGCTGGATCAGCACCGCATGCGACAGCGCTGCGCTACCGGAGTAGGTAGGGAGACAGGGCGGAGGCCATACCTGCAGCGTTTGAGTACGTACCTGGGCGCCATAGCTGGACTTGGCTCCAGCGACCTGCAGCACAGCGTACACCGACGACGTCAGAACTTGGCAGCAGTTACCTCCAGGTGAGTCAGTGAGGAGGACGACATCATCTTCTTCTTCTATCTGTCTCGCCTTCCACCTCTTCTTCTTCCTTCCTCCTCCTTCTTCTTCTTCTTTCAGAGAGAGAGAGAGAGAGAGAGAGAGACTTCAGGCAGAGGTTTCACGGGCATACGCCCAGGATCTGATTCGACATTTTTTTTGCGGCAGACATTGATTGGACACTCGGCCAGGGACTATTTTTTGGACTTCGCTCTAGCGATCTTGGTCTTCTCCCTCGCCTCCCCCCCCACCTCTCGTCCGTGGTATCTCCCCCCATGTGCGGGTGCAAGGAGGGACCTTTCTTCTATGTATGCGGTCCCTCCTCTCTCTCACACATGTGTGGTGTATGATGGGGTGTTGCGTCAGTATCTAACAGGTCAGATCTTTAGTTTTCCGCTGCGCTACATTGTGCTATTTCATATGTATCTGGATGTATATTGCTTGTTGATGCTTGGCTGACGCCCCATTGTCCATACGAGTCCATTTCATCACTAAGTCTTGCGGATCCTTGGCTCCCCCGGCATCGCCTGATTGGGCATGCTTCATGCATCTAGGCCGGTTTGAAAAAACGGTCATATACATCCAACAAAGCCCTGGTGTGAGTATGCCCTAAAAGCAGTGAGCTTGCAGCTCGTGAAATTTGTGAAGTAACAACGGGCTTAGCTCGGTTCGTACAGACCTGAGTTCGAATCCAAATGGAACCAGATGAACGAAATTCCTGAATTACCAAGGGTAAGCCAGTTGACATCTTAAAGTTGTCGCCCTTAAAAAAAAAAAAAAAAAAAAAAAAAAAAAAAAAAAAAGAAAGAAAGAAAGAAAGAAAGGTGAAATGGCCAGGGGAAGAAGCAGCGCTATTTTTCGTAGCTAAAGGAGAGAGTTTGAGCGCCGCCAGAGCCAGCGTGCTCTGGCCCTTCACCGCCGCCATAGCCAGCGTGCTCAGGGCAGATTGGCAGCCAAATTTTTTTCTTTTTTCTTTTCTCTTTTGTGGGAAGAGCTCCGGTCTAACTCGTGGGGAGCAGCACGTGCTGGGAGTCGGGCCCAACGTCCCATATGAATATATACAAAAGAATACCCCAAGTGAACATGCTTTTTTCTTGATTTCATTCAGTATATGCTGGTGGGACTTTTTTTTCTTTTTTTTTTTCCCTTTTCTTTTCCCAACAACGCGTGGCCCATATTGGTGCAACTTTTCAATACAAGTTTCGTGTGAAGCTTCCAATCAATTGCGATTTCCTCAGCATTGCCATGAATTCAATTTGCATGGCTGATGCCCGTTGGAAGTAATAATTAGGTTCTGGCAATTTCCTCAGACCGTTGTCAGAAACAAAGAAAAGAAAAAAAAGAACAAAAAAGAAAAAAAAAAACGTTGTCAGAACAGTACTGTACCCTGACGATGATGGGCATGGTTCGCGACCCCACCAAGTGCTTGTTGAAGGAAAAGAGGGAGCTTGACAGAGAGGAGCTTTATGCTCTGTGTTATGCTCTGACGATGAACATGGCCTGACTTCAAAGAGAGTTGCAGCCAGCACCTATGAGAGGGAGCTTTTTCAAGGGAGAGGAGCTTTATGCTCCTGTATTATGCCCCGAGGACATGGAGACATTGCGGGCTAAGGCACCCCGCTGGCTGCAACTAAGGGCACACTCACACTACCACGTATTTTCGCAAAATAGCAATTTTTATGTAGTTTTTCGGGTCACAAGAGGCACCTATTTTGCGTGTTCACACAAAAGGGCACGTAAATGTCAGCGGCCGGGACAGCCGCGGGCTTACATATTTTGCGGGGACCTCCAGAGGTCCCCGCAAAATCGTATTTCTTTTTCCGCTACTGCTTTCCAGAAGCAAAAAAAAAAAACTTTAAAGTGCATTGTGCTGTCTGACTGCACACAAAGTATTTTCGCATCTCAGGGCCAGGTCGCGACCCTGTCCTTAAGTTTCTGCTTTGGGCAAAAAAAAGACGGGTGAGCAGTGTGACCCACAGGTGTCATATAAATGCAAATTCCCATACGTAAAATTTGCAGAAGTACGTGCTAGTGAGAGTATGCCCTAAGGCACCCCTATAAAGTCTAGTCGGAGCATCTGACTCTTCGATGGCTGAAGAGGTAGGCAGCACCGAAGAGAGTTGCACCTAGCACCTATGAGAGGGAGCTTTTTCAAGGGAGAGGAGCTTTATGCTCTGTATTATGCCCTGAGGACATGGAGACATTACCTCCTAAGGCAACCCTCCAAAGTCTAAACGGAGAATCTGACTCTTCCATGGCTGAAGAGGCAGCCCAAGTCATCAAATAAAGTGACCTGATGGTCTACCTATACTGATACCTCGACTTCGAGTTCAAAGGTTTGACGGACAACTTTCAAAAACTCCTGTTAAAATTAAAAAAAAAAGGCCAAAACTTGACTGTTCCGGCCCCTATCTGAACGTACCTGGACACTCTGATGGTCGCTGTGCAGATCATGCATGCATCGGTGTTCTGCACCGTGCAAGTTGCATTTTGACGATGCAGTTTTGTTATTGTCCCCTTCAACCATGCAAATGGGAAGTGAGGTTGACCGTACATACATCTATATTGACTTCAACTATGATAAACTACCGAGTTTTGTTATTGTCCCCTTCATTATGGCTGTATTAGCGTCAAACCTCACTCGCCAGATTACGATCTTAAAAAACTGAAAAAAGAAGATGAAAACAAAAGAGAAAGAGAGAGAGAGAGAGAGAGAGAGAGAGAGAGAGAGAAAGCAGACAGGTTCATGGCCAATGTGCACGTAATGCCTGGCATTGTTGACTCTGACCATTAGACTTTTACAACCCGTAAATCGAGACAGATCGAAATCGATCGCAGCCGTCTATACATACCATCTCACTCCGTAATCACACATTACGACAAATCCTAAACGCACGTGACTTCAAAGACGGCCAAGTTCAGATCGAAATCGATCGCAGCCGTCAAAATGCACGGACTCACTCCGTAATCAAACATTCGTATGTAAATTCTAAACGCCTCTTTTACGGCCAGATTCAGATCGAAATCGATCGCAGCCATCGACAAGTACCATCTCACTTCGTAGCCACACATTATGACTCCTCGCAAACGGATCTGACTTCAATTGCAGCCAGGTTCATTCAGTAAACATAGTCCAAATGTTTAACATGCTCAAGGTAATCAATTCCAAGACCATGCAACAATGACAAGGGCTCATTCAGAAACGGTACTGCATTACCACTATTCCAAGAACATGCTCTCCCAAACGTATCTGACTTCAATTACGGCCAAGTTAATTCAGAAAAAACGGTACTGCATTATCACTATCCACCCGCCAACCACTCTCACAGAGAGAGAGAGAGAGAGAGAGAGAGAGAGAGAGAGAGGAGACCCCATGCCAAGCACTCGTAAGCAGAGCGGGGGGCAATTGACGTCAAAGACTACCGTCTTCACCCAAAGAAATAACCCCCCCGGTCATTTATGGCTGTATCGAGACTAGAAATTTGCCCCAAACACAGCTATAATGACAGGGCTTCTATTCGGGTGAAAGACGAATAGGAGACGGCCAAATGAACTACGGTCCCCAATTGCCCCAGCGGCTCGAGAGGTTCTTGGGAAGTCTGCGTTTTCCGACATTTTCAATGACGTCAATAACATTTCCATTCACGGTAACGCCATCGCCATCGCCATGACCGTTCCCGTAGTCAAAACTCCCGGGAAAAAAAAAAAAAAAAAAAAAAACTGGAACACATTTATCGTATTTCTTGATGTCACTGCCATTTCCATTTCGGGAGGTGCGTTTCAGCGGACGCAAGTTTGAACATGAGGGGGAAGTGGAATAATATTGAAATATTGAAAACAGTGGCCATAGACTGCTTCTCGTACAAGCATCAACATACTATTTACATTACAGTATTTCTCCGCATGTACAGTTCTCAGCATGAAACGCGCAAGAAGCGTATGAGACGTCTCAAGAGGAAGCGCAGAAAGATGCGCCAGAGATCGAAGTAATGGGGTTGGGCGGAGGGAATGTTGGAAGAGTGGGAAAGGGGTGATTAGATAGTATTGTGCAGGGGATGGGGAAAGGGAGGAAGAGGAGAGGGGGAGAGGACAAAAGCAAAAGCATGTGCTACACCGATGCGCATGGGGATGCTTCATTTTGGTAAATGCACTCTCCGCTCTCCTCTTTCGATTAGCAATATTTTGTAATGCAGTGAGACAAGAGACGAGTGATTGTAAGTTGCTCTTTTTTTTTAATTAAAAAAAAAACGAAAATATTATTATTAGCACTGAGCCTAGCTCAGTTGGGACATCGATGAACTGTTGAAACACAGACCCGAGTTCGAATCCCTGACGGACCGTGACGGTCGCCCTGTAAAAAAAGACAAGAAAAAGGGAAAAAAGAGAAAAAAAATGGGCAAACAAAAAGGTTCTTACTACCGGTAGCCATCTATTTCGCCGCATTCGACGGTAAAAAATGCGCTTTTTCAGCTTGTCTTCCTTCTTTTAATCGATAGCTAGCAAGTAACGAGAGAGGACTTCGCGCGAACCCACTGAAGAAGAAGAGCGGGTGTAGAAGGGGAAAAAAAAGAAGGAAACGGATCGATCCTTGCAATCGACCGTAAAAAATGAAATGGATGTTCATCGGTCCGGGTAATACTTATATACTACGACGTACACAATGGGCCTCGCTCCACTACTTTCCACATGCACAAATGGCAAAAAATATGGCGTTGTATCTTCCAATGTTTTAGCGAAAGATTCACTCTCATTTTGCACATTTAATTAGTGGAGCGAGCGAGGCCCCAAGTGCGATCATCTCTCTCAGGAGAGCGCCTCTCCTTCTTTTCCCACCTCAGGAGATCTTCTGCAAATGACCTACCCGTCTCCCACCCGAATAGAACGCCCCGGTCATTGTCGCTGTGTCTATTTGGGGCAACTTACACTCCCAATGCAGCGATATTAATGACCGGTATTAAAAAAAAAAAAAAAAAAAGATCGGGCGTTCTATTCGTGTAAAGACGGCTAGTTACTTCAACCACCAGGAAAACAATGAAAACTACCCCCAGACTTTCCCCAAATAGAACGTACGGTCATTGTCCCTGCATCTGGGGCAAGTCTCAGTCTAGATACAGCCACAATGACCGTACAGAATATTCGGGGCAAGACGGGTTAGTACTGTCTCACACACCCGCCTCTGCCCGGCAGATCCGGATGGCGGGAGATCACAACAGATGATGGGACCATCGCAATCCCGAGCGGGGGGGAATGACCCGGAAAACTATAAACGGATAGGATTAATTACTTCATTTCTATCATAAATTCAGACTAATGACCCAAAAAGGGCAATACGCTCTACCCACATCTTTCAGGGGCATTTTCGCATATACCTCACCCCGTGGGGGTATTTTGCAAATTATCCCTTCTTTTTTTCCTTATAGTAATAAATATACGGGATAGATTTCCTTTTGCCGCTGCTGTTGTGTAAAGCAATCAATGAATTAAATCCCATCAGGCTTCACGTCAATTCAGTATTTTTTTTTTCCTTCTTTTTTTTTCTCCTTTTCGTTTATTTTGAAAAGGCGATATATCAGCATTGAAATGACCGGTCCTAAACAATTCAGAATGATTTTATTACTCTTGGAAGCAAATTTGTTCGGTCCTTCGGTGGGACATCCGTTAAAATTGGAACGATACAGAGAAGGGTAATTACCAAAATGGGCCCCGCGCAAGTATGATACACACAGATCGAGAAAGATTGTCGAAATTAAAGAAATATACAGATGAAATAAAAAGGGCCAAATCGGGAACCAAGAAATAAAAAATAAATTAAAAAAAGGCAACAGTGGAGCACCCGTTCCAAGCCTGCGGGGCTGTGAGTCCCTTCCTGCCTTTCTATCGTTTTTCCCGCTGTGAAAGTCCCGTAGCCATGGCCGGAGAGCTTTTTTTTCTTTTCTTTTTTTGCGATGGCCAACATTTTATTTTTTCTGCGTCCAAGTTGTTGTAGAGGTCGGATGCTTTTTTCCTTCTTTTTTTGCGACGGACATAATGACAGTCGCCTTTTTTTTTTCATGACAGTCATCATCGGCAATGGCTGGAGGTTGTTCTTTTTTTTTATATAAATACTGGGTATTATACTATTTCGCGAGGCAATGCAATCAAATGTCGACACTGCTGAAGAGACTCAACTCAAGAAAAATGGCCCCAACTCCCTTTTTTTTTTTTCCCTCCCCAACTCCTCATTGATAGATCATCTCCGTGTTGCCTACTCGGTTCGGGTTGGATCGGATCGAAACGGCGATTAACCCTGTCCCCGATCCTGTCCGTCAGTTGGTCGAGAGGATCAACGACAATGACACAAAAATCTACGGACAGGATCGGACTAGATCGGACGTGATCGCATCGACGGCAGGATACGGGCGAAGAATCGCACAGGAATCACGGATGGATCACCAATCGGAACCATGGGCAGGACATACGACGGACTGGCGAACAGAACCTGGACCACACACTGGACCAAGGACAAAATATGGAATGGATGGACAAAAAATGGAATGGATCAAGGACCGGGATCGCAAGCTGGATAAAGCAAGGGAGTACTTGATGGATAAAGCCACTGCCGACTTCCCCCGAATAGAACGTCCGGTCAATATAGCCGTATTTGGCTCACCTTTCTGTCCAGATGCAACGACAATAACAGTACGTTATATTCGGGGAAAGAAGGTAGTTCACCAAATGGATCAAGCGATGGATCTTGGAATGGATCAAGAGCCGAATCACAGGATATATCAACCACTGGATCATGGAATACACCAACCACCAGCTCATGGAAGGCATCAAACACTGGATCATGGAATGGACTGAGGACAGAATCGCAGAATGAATCATGGAATGGATCAACGACGGATGAGATCAGCGACCGATCGGACCAAGTAACCCTCGAATCAAGGACCGATCGGATCAAGGACCGGATCGAGGATCGGATCGAGCACCAGATCATGGACCCCGGATCAAGGACACGGATAGAGGACCTGATCGAGGACCCGATCAAGGACCCGATCACAGAATGAGACCGGATCAAGGACCTGGTCAAAAACCGGATCGAGGACCGGATTTGCCACCCCATCAAGGACCGCATCAAGGACCAGAACGTGGACGAGATCACAGAATGGGGATAGGATCAAGTACCTGATCAAAAACCGGATCAAGAGCCGGATCGAGGACCGGACCTGGGACCCGATCAAGGACCAGATCACAGAATGGACAAAGCGCCCGACCACAAAATGGATAAAGCACATGGATGGACCAAGGAGCGGATCAAGGACCAAAAAGACGATACTTAAACTATATAGCACATTTCGTTCCTAGCATAGCCAAAGCCAACTGGACGGAACCATTCGCCACTCTCGACATCGTGAGTTGGAACTTTCTGTTTGAAGTCGTCGACCGTGAGGTTTTTATTTGTAAGTTCGAACTCTCGACATGTAAGTTTGAACTTTCTGTTTGAAGTCTGAAGTTTGAACTTTCTGTTTGCAGTTTGATGAACCCTATTCACAGTCGACGACTACAAACTTCAAACAGAAAGTTTACAAGCAAGGGGTACCCATAGGTTACGTAATGACTTTATACAATATTTAATCGAAACGTCAGCCAGAGAAGGCACCCAACCAAAAAAAAAAAGGTAAGGCGGCATAGGAGGAGGACAACAGCATACCTGTCACGGTCGACCCAACGATCGGGATGCACGCCGGCCGCCCGCTGGACCGTCTCCGGGTCCAAGGTACATCTCATCCGCCCACACATGTGTCCGGTTCCTTCGCCACTTGAAGCTGAAATGCCACCGTCTCACTCACTCTTACGTTCGCCTTCCTTCGATCCCCCCTCCTCACCGCCTCCTTTCCCCTTCCTCCCCCCTTCCTCCCCCTGAAACTCGGCGATATACAAGGTCGTTTACCAGCTGTCACAGACGATCGCGCCGCTCATCACTCAGCAGTCGTCTGCCTCGTGTGTGACATCTCCCTACTGCTATGTGTGCTCACCCACCGCTGACTTTCCCCAACACAACCCACCTTACTCCTACCCGTGCTTGATATCCAATTGATATCCCCCAGTTCTTACATCCAATTGATACATACAATTGATGTATCCAAGTTGATATATCCAAGTTGATATATCCAAGTTGATATATCCAAGTTGACATCTAACAAGGATAAAAAGGAGAAGATTCAATGCTCGTTCGAAGAAAATCGTCTACCGGTAGCAGAAGAAAATCAAGGTCAAGTACGACGATCGGCAAATAAGATGACACAAGTACTACTATATTACACACCCAAGCGTAGAGGCGGCCTATCTAGCTTCATTACACTCTCTCTACCAGCTAATCAAAGGCCCGATGCTTACTAAGATTGCCATTTCCACCGTCCGATCCACGCCTCGGTCAATCATGGCCAATGACAATCAATAATCTCGATCCTACTTTGATGTTTCTCGATCGTCGTTGTGTTTCTCGACTCTCGATCAGTCAGCCGATCGATTCCCGCCGCCGCCTTGTTCCCACCGTCCCCCCGTTTGAGAGCATCCCTTGCGTTTGCCAGTGGCCAATGCACGAAAATCGAACAACCCCTTTACCAACGCAGAGGACAACTGATCTTGATTGCCAATCAGGTCGCTACTCTTGATTGCCCCCCTCAACCAATCAACGTGCCATCAGGTTGGTACTCCTGATTGCCATGCCAAACAGGAAAACTGATGTTGATTGCCAATCAGGTTTTCCTCCCCAACCAATCATACGACCCATACATGAAGTTAACAGGCCCAATACAGCGAACCTTGTCGAGCTTGAGGAGCCAATCAAAGAACTACTGATAGCTTCTCATTGATTAGAAAGAGCGACAGAGAAGGGGAGAGAGAGAGAGAGAGAGAGAGAGAGAGAGAGAGAGAGAGAGAGAGAGAGAGAGAGAGAGAACGAGAATTTCGCGTTAATTACACAGAAGGCATGCCACGATCGCGGATTCAGGTTTGCCACGAGTGCGGTCATCAGATGAAGCCCTCTGCACACGTCGACTACATAGTGCAACTTCAGGTCTGCCACGAGTGCGGTCATCACATGAAGCGGAAACGCGCGCAGAGTCGTTTGTGTGCGGAGAGGTAAACATCGGGACTTTCAAGGGTGTTTGGTCGGGCGAAGTACTGCTGCCCTGGCAGAGCGCGGATCTTGGGCCCCGGCGTCGTACTAACGAACCGTGAAAAATGCCGAAGAAGATGACAAAATACATCGTTCGCAAGTCCCTGAAGCGCATGTGTAGCGCATGTATACTTCCTCGTCCTGCTTGAAGATGCACTCGCCAATTTTCACGTTTCGCGAGGCGCTTGTTCCTGCATGCTTCAGTTTTTTTTTTTTCTTTCCTTTTTTTTGCATGCTTCAGTTCCGCTTGCTCTCCTGCCCGCCTTCTGCACAGCTACGTTGTTCTCAGTGACAGAGCGTCCCAGCCGGCAGCACCGCCACGTTTTTCGCAGTGAGAAAGGGTCTCCGCCGGCAGGCGGAAACCGTGCCTAACCCCAACGGGCCTAGCTCAGCCCCCGTCCCAACGGGATGGAAACCATGCCTAACCCCAAGGACAACCAGCGGGCCTAGCTCAGCTGGTACACACATGAACAGTTCGAACATAGCCGTGAGCTCGAATCGAAATGGAACTACCTCGTTCCAGTCGGTTCCAGGATGACATCTCAAGGACCCCACTGCCTGGCGGAAGCTTTCCAGGCAGGCTGCTGGGTTTTTGCTGTTGCTACTGTCCTTCTTGTTGCTGTTGCTACCGTCCTTCTCCTTGCTTAATCGGTCTGATTAGGAGTAGGCAACTATGGCAGGGGCAATGCCCGCTCGTGGCTGTTACTATTGCGGTGCGATGAACCATTGGATCCGTGAGTGTCCGAACCGTCCGACCGGTTATAGGCCTCCGGCTACGGTTGCTAATGCAGTATCTTCTGTAATCTTCTAATCTATGGTTGATTGAGATGACGTGTTTTTGTCTTGGCTTTCATGCTTACTTTCATGCTTATTTTAGGCTGAATGCCGCCACTGCGTGTCCTATTGATAGCTTCTGGCAATATTGATGTTGTGTGTGTTGAATTGCTCACCATCATCTTGACGTTGTAACCGCCGTAGCAATTACACTACGTGTGAGTGGCTCGTTTGCTTATTGTCATTAGTGTTCGATTGCGCTAATCTGTGGTATCTTCTGGTGTTTTTGATGTCTTTGGTGCTTTTGGCGGGTTTTTGCTGTTGCTATTGCCCTTCTTGTTGCTGTTGCTACCGTCCTTCTCCTTGCTTAATCGGTCTGATTAGGAGTAGGCGACTATGGCAGGGGCAATGCCCGCTCGTGGCTGTTACTATTGCGGTGCGATGAACCATTGGATCCATGAGTGTCCGAACCGTCCGACCGGTTATAGGCCTCCGGCTACGGGTGCTAATGCAGTATCTTCTGTAATCTTCTAATCTATGGTTAATTGGGATGATGTGTTTTTGTCTTGGCTTTCATGCTTACTTCCATGCTTATTTTAGGCTGAATGCCGCCACTGCGTGTGCTATTGATAGCTTCTGGCAATATTGATGTTGTGTGTGTTGAATTGCTCACCCGCTGGGGTTCCCCGTAATACTATAATGACAATAAAAAAAGGCCTGACAGGCTATCCTGTCCAGATTTGACAGGTAATTGAATTCGCCAGTTCCACTGCTGCTGGTTACCCGATGTGGAAAACTTTCACTGTATGGAAACTTCACATCTGCTTGTCTCCGTTCTCTCCTTTCCGCATGGGATGGCCGAACCGAGGGAGGTGACCCCCCCTTACCCCCTCAGAATGGCCGAACCGCAAGGAACAGGCAAAACAAAACTGAGTGAAAACGTCTGCCACGTCATATCTGAGGCCTGGACCCCACAGGAATGCGGCAAGGAAAACTTTTGCCGCAGAATTGTTTCCGGGACCCTACATGCCCCGGAAAAGGTCGTGGAAAGGTTTGGTTTACTCCGCGGAATCATTCCGCGGGGCCCCGCAGGCCGCGGAATGTGGCGTGGAAAAGCTTCCGAAACCGTTTCCACATGGTCTGCGGCATGGAAAAGTGACGCGGGAGGGATTTCCGCCACAATTTTGTGCCGACTCTCAAACGTTGGGGGGCGGTGCATCGCGAAGGTTTCCAAGGTCTCCAGCTCAGGCGGGGGTAGAAGATGTCCGAGCGGCCTACACTGTCGTCCATGTGTCGCGGAGTGGCCACTGTCGTCCATGTGTCGCACCACTCCGTCAACCGCCACCCGAAGTCGCCCTCCAACGGACATTGGTGGTTCCTAGGCTCCAGGGGCAGTCACTCGGACGGACCACCACTTTCCATTTCGGGATGGCACCCCGGGCACATTTCCTATTACGGAAAGTTCAATCCACATTTTGCCGCAAAACGGCCTCCGCTGTGGGGTCCCGCAGAAGGCTTTCCAAACTTGCAAAGACTCTTCCGACGGCCATTCTACGGAAACGTCTTTTCCAAAGGAATTCCTGTGGGGGCCAGGCCTGAGCGTTTTCCAAAGCTTTGCCGCAAAGCAGTGGGGTTTCACAAATCGTCTTCCAAAGCTTTGCTGCAAAGCAGTGGGGTCCACCTCTAAACCGCCTATGTCAAAGAAAAAAAGTCCATCGGTTAACACGGAGGTCGGCGCTGGCCTCGCCCAGCGGGATATGGGGAAGGTACAAATGGGGACCGACTCCACTATGGTGGGCACAACCTCTGCGCAATGAATTTTGAGACTCCACATTCTTCCGCAGTGAGTGGCCCAACTGTTGAAACTGTTGAGAAACTACGTGGCAGATGTTTCACTCAGCTCTGCACAGCACTTTTCGAGTACAATGACCATCCTGAGGGAGTAGCTGGGGGAACATCTCTTCCTGTTTGGCCATCCTGTGCGGCAAGGAGACCCAGGGATTGGATGGGGGACGAGACTGGCAGACCCCTAATTTTTTTATAGCCCTTAGAGTAAGTGCAGTCGTCGTAATTTGTCACCAGGCTCCACCCACCAGCCCTTTCAGGTCTATAACAAAAGTGGCGCCTCACCGAATGGCAGAAATATTGTTACTCCAACACTCCTCCTACTTTAGAATTGCGGTATGATGCCTTGCACCGTATTTAACGGAATACTTGTGTAAAGAGATGTTGTTAGGCCTTCTTCAATTGGCGAACGGCAAAGTTGCCCTCCTGTGTGCCCTGACCTCGATAATTGAAAACTAAACAAGTTTGGCTCCCACTTCGTGAAGAGAAACTTTGACAAATCCGCAGTGGAACCTCCCCTACTTGCGGAAATTCCCAGAAGTAATTCAGTGGAGCCGACCCCAAATATGCGGTTAAACTATGGCCGCAACTTTTGGGGATCGGGGAAGGCCCGGTAGTGCAACAGGGGAGGAAGCCAGTGGGCCCAAGAAAAGCATGCAAATGGGTTGCACGTTGTCCGGTTGGTTTATGCACATGCACGAAAATTGAAGACGACGACATGAAGAAAAAAAAAAACGACGAATGTCTCATGGCATTTTCATGCTAGCAATTTCTATAATGTATCGGACCTTGAATGTGGAACTTGAATTACACATTCGAAAACGAAAGTCGTCCTGCTCAACACAATTTCCTTGAGAAGTTACAACCCTCACCATGAGTGTATTTGAATTTGTTCGTCAGATCTATACATCCGAGCTCATAAGTGGCCTCCATTGTGAGTGGGAGTATCTAACCTTGTCCGTCACATTCGAGCTCAGAAGTAGCCTTCATCTTGATTGATTGAATGTATCTGACCTTATCCGTTAATATATATATTCCAACTCACAAGTAGTTTTTTCATCGGGGGTGAGTGTATATGACCTTGTATGTCAGATGTGTACGTTCCAGAACAAAAGTAGCCTCTCTCTCTCTCTCTCTCTCTCTCTCTCTCTCTCTCTCTCTCTCTCTCTCTCTCTCTCTCTCTCTCTCTCTCTCTCTCTCTCTCTCT